TAAATGGGAGTTTAAGGTAAATATGGTCTTGTTGATCGTCGCGCTGGTGTCTATCGGAAAGGGTATTTCTTATAACTCCTTTGACGAATTTAGTAGGGTAACTGTTGTGCACAAACAATTGTGTGATTTGCTTTAATGATTGTTTTTGAGTAGCACAATCGGTAGAGCATCTAACTGCCCTCTTTATTTCGCCTATCAAAACTGCTCGTTTAGACGCTATACCGAACCATGACTATCCCAGGGTGTGATGCATCGACTATGGATGGGTTTTATATAGAAAGTTGTGGAAAATGTTTTTCCTGGGGATTAAACGTAACTAAAGTATCCAAAAAAGTTACGTTTAGTTACGTTTAATCCCCAGGAAAAAACATTTTCCACAACTCTCTACATAAAACCCATCCATAGTCGATGCATCACACCCTGGGATAGTCATGGTTCGGTATAGCGTCTAAACGAGCAGTTTTGATAGGCGAAATAAAGAGGGCAGTCAGATGCTCTACCGATTGTGCTACTCAAAAACAATCATTAAAGGAAATCACACAATTGTTTGTGCACAATGGTTACCCTACTAAATTCGTCAAAGGAGTTATAAGAAATACCCTTTCCGATAGACACCAGCGCGACGATCAACAAGACCATATTTACCTTAAACTCCCATTTATTAACGAAGAATATAAACGACGGGCCTTAGGAGTGTTAAACCGATCGCGTATAAAGAATGTTAAAATACACTTCATGAATGGCAAATCATTATCAAAAGTTTTTGGCCCACCTAAGAATTAACAAAACTGCCCCCGCAACTGCGAAACATGCAAATTAGCCACCAAACCGAATCGCTGCTTGATGAAGAATGTTGTTTACGAAATTAAGTGTGTAACGTGCGGAACCATTTACATAGGAGAGACTAGCCGAACAATAGCAACACGGATTAAAGAACATCTAACAATGGAGAAGCAAACTGTGTTTAAGCATTTATCATCCCATAAGAAACGTACAGCAAATAAGACCACTTGGAGGATTCTACATTCAAATATCCAAAATGACGAGGAACGAAGATATATCGAGGCTTCTGAAATACAGAACCAACCTGAAGACATTATGAACGGTTGTGTTGGGAGAACAATTTGTATATAGAACGATTTTAACCTAGAATTAAGTAGGAGCTGTTTTAACCTAGAGTATTTTTAACATTTTTAATTGGAACTTGATCCAACAGGAGCTGCGCACTTGTGCATCAATAGTATGTAGATTACTTCTGTTACAATAGTACTAAGTTAGAATTTTTAATTAGATATGCTTGTATATATATAATAGGATCTTAATATTGCTACTAACAATCCACTGAAGAAGCCTTGACCGGCGAAACGTTTGGATATTAACAAATATATAGTTAGTTTTATGTCTGAAGAAATCCTTACCACAAGTTTATAATATACCGGACATGGTTCCACAAACACATTCATATATATATATATATATATATATATATATATATATATATATATATATATATATATATATATATATATATATATATATATATATATATATATATATATTATACATACTTGTGGTAAGGATTTCTTCAGACATAAAATTAGCTATATATTTGTTAATATCCAACATTTCCTTCACTTCGGTGTCGTTGAGCATTTTGCGGAGTTGTTAATGGGTGTCTATTAGCGCCAATGCAAAGCTCACTTCTCTTGTGGTCGTTTGAGCACTCTGGCCTCATTACGCTCTGCGCATGTCTGGATGCGTCGAGTCACCGTGTTGTACCACATGCCTTGGTGAGATCAAGTTCATGGGATATAAATACGAGTGTGTCGCGCAACTAGACGCGTGTACCATGCAAGCTGCACCGACGAGGCGTAGAACGCCGAAAAATGCTTGTCTGCAGATTGTACTCTATTTATTTATTTATATATATATTTATTTATTTATTTATATATTTATTTATATATATATATATATATATATATATATATATATATATATATATATATATATATATATATATATATATATATATATATATATATATATAATTAATGCACATTAATAAATTTTTTTTCAGTTGGAAATAACTCGTTTATGATTCAGCAAAGTGAAAATGAACATATATGCATTCATTACGATCGATCATATGGCATTACGACAACAAAATGCAACTCCAGTGATCCTTTCCAACGATGGATTTGGACACAGCACAGCCAACTACTTCATGCAGAAACATCAAAATGTATCCAGCAAGGCAAAATGTTTCCTGGACAAATGTATACTTGGCACCTAGGTCTTGAAGAGTGTAACGTATCTGAGACGAAACAGCGATGGGACTGTGACGCAAATTTCCTTGTGAAAAGGTTTCTTCGTACCACCAGTCAGCAGGACACCATGTACATAACGTATGAGAATGACAATGACAACACTATTGTTGCAAAAGAACAGGCCCCTAAGAATTGGAAACGTTATCAGCTAAATAGTAAAATTTGTTCTTCATGTATGTTTCTTGTTGTGTATTGTTCACGTTTTCTTTTTTTTTCTGGTCATATTTTTTCTTTTAAAAATTCTTATCATCGATACCTTCCATATTATCAGTTGCACATACATAATGCTGTATAATATATATACGCACTCTTTCTGATAAGATCATTCATTGTTTAAAGAGGTTTATATACTAAACTTTCACGCTTAAACAGGAGTAAGAGTTAATTAAATTAGAATTAGAATTTGGACTATATATCGTCTATCGTGAATGATATTTTTTATTTTGACAAAATGGCTTAATAAGTAGTCTGAATACAACATTATAATTAGTTCTTTTGACTTTGTTAACTTTTTCCACAGCATTTGGGTGCAATGAATTTACTAACCCACCTTCTGCTATGTTGATTTTGGATACAATATATCAGCAGCAAGGAGAACAGCACATTGCCGACCTTCCAAAGGATAAAAATTGTTCTGTTATTTGCGACCGTCTGCAGTTTTGGGATCGTTATTACTGGGTACACCTTGATCATGAATGCAAAGAAAATATTTTCTCAATATCTAACACTACGACATCAGGAAAATTGTTAAAGGTACATGAAATGCATGCAAAGTCGGTTGTGTACTTGTGTACATGTGTTAAAGATAAAATACTCTCTTTTTAATCCACTATATTCTCTTCTCAATCATTTCGCACTATTTTCAATTCTTTCAAAATAAAGTATGGAACACTATAGGCTCGTCCAATTTGATATATCGGTTTATTAAGCCGGTATTCCACTGGGCGGAATTTTTGAACTAATTAGAAAAGAAAATTCTGCCTAGTGAAAAACCAGCTTTAATTTAAGTCGATTTTAACGGCTTGTCGCGCGATATTTACAATGGTTGAGTTGCATTCAAACATTCTTATTCGTACCATACTATCGCCAGCTGAGTTGCATTTTTACTGAAAATTAAGATTATTTTGCTTAGTTTGACTTATTCTGCTTTGTTGTAGTGGAATCTCACAAGAACGCCATCAAATTGGACTAATTTGATTATTAAATTGAACTTCAAATGCTCATCAGTACCAGAACCAATGAATTCCTTTACAGCAGAGACTAGCACAAGATGTGTTCTGATAAAGTTGACATATCCGGCTGCAGGTTGTAAGTATTTCGATACACTCATCTTATCAATCAAGAAAATCAGTTCAAACTAGGCTGCATTATAGTAAGATAGGTACAGCTTGTAACTTGTCTCTCGCAACACAATTGCAAGACAATTAAGATGGGCAGATGTTGTTTTCTAAAAAAAATTTAAAATTAGCTCATTAATGCATGGGTAGTGTTTACTAATGATCTGCTGACGCTGATCTAGTGCATAGCAAAGTAACATATGCAAATGAGGAAGGGCGACATCATTAAACGTCTTTGTTGTATTTGTGCTCAAGCTAGTCTGCCACACTTCCGAGTGATCGTTGGCCTTAGCGTGGACGTAAAGTGTGTCCTTCCATGTCAAAAATCTTTATTTTAATGACTAGGAGTGATATAGTAACGACGTCATGTCATTCTATCGGCACCAGCACTATACGGTCTGAACTAATTAACTATAGTATATACAGCTATTTCAATTAAGGTTGTCCCCAGAGCAAAGCGGAAAAGTCGAATACGAGCGCGAAAGGCTGCTGGGAATCGCTCATAAATGAATGCATTTATTAGCGATTCCCAGCAGCCTTTCGCGCTCGTATTCGACTTTTCCGCTTTGCTCGGGGGACAACCTTAATTGAAATAGCTGTAGACATAGGACACGTTGTTTGAAAAAACGCACTAATTAGACAGCAATCAGAACTATATCGTTATGCTATGCTAAATATCTTCTATAGCACAAATATGTACCTACTACTTACTGTACTCAAAGATATTACAGAAAGAAATAAGGGTACGAAGTAGATCATCTCTATGGATGACTAGTGATATTATAAACTTAAAATTATTTAAAGGTTTAAAGCTTTCAAAAAGAATATTGAAAGTAAATCCGATTATGATTGGTCAATTTATAAGAAATTGCGTAATGAAAAAACGTCAGATGTAAGAAAAGCGAAGGCTGATTATTATTTAAGTACATAAATATTTAAGTGATTATTATTTACGTACATACAAGTAAAATCAACTAGAGTGTACTGGGATCTGTTAAAGAAAGCTGTATCACCAAAAGATCGTACAAATATTGGTCCAATTAGAAAGGATGATGGTACATTAGATGACGAAAAAGAATCTCTGATTAATTCCTATTTTCTGTAATTGGAAAAACACTGGCTAGTCTCTTGCCACCATCTGCTGCTGTTGCATTGCCTATACAAACAGGTAGATATAGCTATCACATTGTGTGACTCGATCTGCTTATCGCAAGCTAACACTAAAAGATATATTTAAAACTTAAACCCAAACTCGCAAGTCAACTGGTCCAGATGGCGTATCACCAAAGATCCTGAAACTATGTGGTTCTGCTATTGTGCCATCATTAACTGGTCTGTTTTATAGTAATGCACAGGAAAATGTAGTGTTCGACAGTTGGAAACAAACAAGTGTCATATCAGTCTATAAAAAAGGAGAGGACGAAAAAGGAGAAAATTACAGACCTATGTGTAAGCATAGTAAGTGTACCTAGTAAAATCTTAGAATCCCAAGTAAATGGCACAATTATTGATCATGCCAATGGAAAAAAACAGTTGATGTCAGAAGGACAGTGGGCCAATAGAAAAAGATGCTCAACAGAGCTGCTTCTAGTCCATCTTACAAGAGACGTCTTGGAGGAAATCGGTTGATTCAGGGCTTGTGGTTGGAATAGTATTTATTGACTTTAAAAAGGCCTTTGATTGTGTTTCCCATTCACTGCTACTACATAAGGTTCGAGAAAATTTTGAATTCGAAGGTTCACTTCTTGAGTGGATAAAAAGTTACTTAAATAACAGTATTCAGCTGTAAATAGTAAGGAATCAAATAAAACATCAGCGTCCTACGGAACTCTGCAGGGGTCAGTGTTAGATCCAACATTGTTTCAGTATTGACTAATGACCTGCCAAATGCAATTAAATCTCGATCCGTATACATGTATGCAGACAACATGACCCTGTATTGCATTGGTAAGACGGTGTACGAAGTAGTTTCATTACTTAACCGTGCTTTACAAGAACTATATGATTGGTGTATAATTAATCAGCTAACGCCTCCATCCTCAAGAATGTGAGGCTATGTTGATATCAAGAAGAAAATTTGTACAGATAACCATTCCGGTCAGCCTGGGACCTCATATTATTAAAACAGTTAGAAAAACAAAACTTTTGGGAGTCATAATAGACAATAAGCTAATCTGGAGCGAGCATATATGCGTGAACTCAAGTTGAGCTTTATTAATAAGCTGAATCTCGTTAAATCTTCACGATTTCTCCCCAAACATGTGTTGTTGTCATTGTATTTCAAAGTAATTTTACAATCTATATCTTATGGTTTGGCCGTGTGGGACGGTTGTAATAATGGAGAAAATTTAGATTCCTTTGAGCGCCTTCATTGTCGCGCGGCGAGATTGATATTTGGTTTACCAAGGGATATACCATAGGAGAATGTACTCAGTGCTATTGGATGGAAAACATTACATCATTATTATAAAACATCCTTGATTAAACTTATCTTTAAAATATTTAACAATGTAATACCTACTGTGATGTAATGTCTAACACAGTGACGGAACGTACTATAAGTTATTCACTTCGTGCAAAACATCAATTATCGGTTCCGGACTTCAATACTCGAACCATGAAAAATTCTATCACGTATCGGGGTGCAGTATTATGGAACATAATAGCGAGCTTAAGCAAGCGACGTTTTTGTCAATACGGACATCAGATTGCTTAGGAGGGACTGGATTAAAAGCTGTGTTTGTGTCAGTTTGTAATAATCTTCAACCAGGGGCGCCGGAAGCAATGTGAAGCGGCGGGGGCAGCATTTCAAAAAGGGCACTTGCTTCTCAGCCATCATTTTTCTGAGCGGCAATATTTGTTAAAACTTTACTGTAGAGATTCAATTACTTGTGGCTATTATGGGTCGGCAAACTTTGACATTAATTTTGAACAATTTTATTCGTTGCACCGCGCTAATGGTGCAAAATAAAATCAGTAAACGTCTAACGAACATATATTGCTTGATTTAGCATTAATTTTACTGCAACTGGTTAAAAATTAAGCAAAGATTGCTTAAACATTCTTAAAAATAGTTATAAATTCAAATTCCTGCGAATAAAGCAGGAATTTCGAAGTTCAGTTCCGGTAAAAAGGGAAACCTGTTGCCCCCGTGCTGCCCCCGCAATGTTTGGGCAATGGGGGCAGTTGCCCCCGCTGCCCCCGTGGCTCCAGCGCCCCTGTCTTCAACACATCTGACAAAATGCAAGATTATAAAAGTTATTGCTTTCTTACAGAGTGCTATGATGTAAAATGCCGCTAAAATTAGATATACTAATTTTAAGGTGACATCCGTGTTGACAAAACCTTCGCTTGCTTAAGCCTGGCGCACACGATGCGATTTTAGTCGGCCGATAAAAATCGTTTGACTAAAACTAACAAAATCGTTGTGTGTGCGGTGTCATTTTTGACCGATTTTTGTTGCTCGATTTTAATCGGACAACATCAAAACGTTTTGATATTATACGATTTTTATCGGTGGAATTTTAAGTATAACCAATCAGATTTCATGCTATGATCACGTGCTTGTATTTATTTGGCAACATGGCGGCTACAGTTCAGAGAGCGTATTTTTTTCGTAATCGTGTGCGGAGTATACCGATGTATATCGGTATGTCAAACGATTTTTATCGGCCGACTAAAATCGCATCGTGTGCGCCAGGCTTAAATCTCACTAATCGGTCACAAACACGGCGACATAATGGAGATTGGAACAAATATCAAAACTTTTGTGAATATGGTACATCAAACTGAAAATTTTAAGGAATTTTATTTTAATTAGTTATTAAATTAGGGTA